AATCATGGTCATTGTATGATCAGTGTTTTGTTATATGTGTATGTGTCAGTCCCTCAGAAGTCTCAGAAGAATCCTGTCTCTAGTATGTACAACCCCTGTAGCTAGTCAGAGGCCTGCTGCACATGGTTGGTGATACTTTAGGCATCCATTACGACAGTCAATTCGCAGTGCTTGAATGAGTTGATAATCACGTGCTTGTGATAAAACACCACAAAAACTATACATCCTTTGTAGGGGTTTCAATAATTTTTTATCAGGTGGGCATGATATGCATTAGGGTATGACAACCGGGCAGAACAATTACAAGGTGCAAAGGGCCTTGCCAAGCTAGGAGGGTCCTGGGTATGCCCCCCCAAGACAATTTGAAATCAAAGACTTGCAGAGATGTACTTCCCTGAAATTTGGAGCATGAAAATGGATCAATCAGTTTTCATAATCTTTTACTGATTACATAAAAAGTCTGTATCACAAGAATTTATATTCAGTATTCGATAATTACAGGCCTTGACAGGTTTCTAGCAAAAACAAACTCACTATAGTTTTTTTATTCTCTGCTTTTTTAAATTACGGCTAATTAAAAAAACGCACTGTTAGGAAACTGCACAAGCAGACTTCTGCATGCATCTATGCTGTAAAGAGACTTAATACGTGAGGTGTGAGACGGCTTGTTTCCATCATTTTAAAAGCGAATTGATAGCAAAATAAAGCTTTTCAATGTCCAGGAGAATGATCAAACTGGACATGTTATTATTTTTAATTAAGTACGGACAGGTTATATAGTTTTGTCAGCTGTTTGTGGAATAATGAAACTTGGAACTCGAACCAGCGGGGAAGAAATTGGTCATGTGCTAGGCAACCAGTGAAAACAGCAAACTGATTGAGGTGACTATCTATAACTTTGTCGCTTTCTAGGGCCAGTCAGGGCAGGCTGAGAAATAAATATTTCCTTCGCACTTTATAGACAAAGAGCCAGAAACAGAAAAAAAAGAACACTCCCAGGTATAATGTATTTTTGAAACTACACTCAAACCTCTATTAACGGCCTCTTATTAAAGTGCACCTAACCCCAAAAATTTTTTTTCGCTAAAACGAATCTCCTTGTTATTTGAAATAGTTC